AAGTCATGATGATCAAGCCAGTAAGCAGCACCTCTCCATGGCCTCTGCATCAGTTTCTGTCTCCAGGTTCCTGCCTTGTTTGAGTTCTTGTCTTGATTTCCTTCGGTGATGAACAGCAATCTGGAAGTGTAAGTTGCTTTGGTGACAGGGATTCATCACAGTCCCTTTCTTTTCTGCTGCAGTACATTTTTGCCCGAGATCACAAATAGACTTTTATGCTTACAGATAGCCTCACCTCCATTTGGGTTCTTAATCTCAACAGAAATTTTGCTTTCATGTAAACAAGTTCTTAAAAAAATGAAAAACAAATGTGGAAGCCTGTCCTAGTCTGCTTTTCTGTTACTATGACAAAGACCATGTAAGTGACAGTCATCACTGAGGGAAGCCGGGACAAGAACCTCAGGCAGAAGCTTGAAGCAGAAGCCAACAGAGGAGCGCTGCTTACTGGCATGTTTCCCAAAGTTGCTTAGGTACCTTTTTTTAAAGCCTATGCTCTCCTGTCCAGGGATGGTACCAACCAAAGCATGCTGGCTTCTTACATCAATCCGAAACTCAGAAAATATTCCACAGGCTGATGAGATGGAGGAAATCCTCAACTGAGAGGTCCTCTTTCCAGCAGAGTTTAGATTTGTGTCTAATTGACAAGAATTAGCCACCACAGATTCAGATTCCTAGTTTCAAATTAAGATGTTGCTGCTTTTGTTTAAGCAAATTTTTAATGAGAAAAGCAATTTGGAGATCCATTTCTTAAATGTGATCAGATATATAAACCATAAGGCAAAGGATTACATTTTACATGAAGAGGTGAAATCAGAAACACCCCTTCATGAAAAAAGTTCTTGAAAGATTAGGGATCTGAGGGACCCACATCAACATCATAAGGTAATTTACAGCAAGCACATAACCAACATCAACTTGAATAGAGAGAAACTCAAAGCATTTCCACTAAAGCCAGGAACAAGACAAGGTGGTTCATTGTCTCCATACCTGTTCTATACAGTGCTTGAAGTCTTAGCTAGAGGAAACAGTCAACTGAAGGAGACCAAAGGGATACAAACTGGAAAGGAAGAAATCAAAGAATCTTTATTTGCTGATGTCTTCACCAAATCCCTACCCACAGGGATCAGGGAACCCTGCAGAAGAGGAGGCAGAAAGGCTGTAAGATCAAGGGAACCCTGCAGAAGAGGAGGCAGAAAGGCTGTAAGATCAAGCGGATAGAGAACAGCAGAAGAACACAGCCCTCTAATCTACAGGATCGGTGCACATAAGAACTCACAGACACTGAGGCAGCAAGTGCAGAACCTGCACAGGCCTGCACCACTTGGAGTCCTCGAGCAGAAAGAAAAAATGGACACATATCCTCTCTAACCCTAACACAGAAGCAATGTGCAATTTAACACCATGAAAATTTAGTTTAGTCCAAGGGAATCTCACTGGTTACCTTCCCAGCAGTAGACAGCCAACAAAAAACAAACTCAACAGCAACTGTTGTCTCAAAGTGTTGAGACTTTTCCTTTTCTTTAATTTTTATTATTAGTTAATTTTATTCATATATTTTCTCGCTTTTACCCTTGTGTATATACTATGGCTTCCAGCTTAGTGTTTTTGGGGGATTCCCACATGTGCAGCGAGTGGATCTCTGTGTCTGTCTGTCTGTCTGTCTCATGTGTCTTTTCCCAGTTCCTCTTTGTTCTGTCCTACTCTGATGTCTTAGTTTCTGTTTTGTCTTATTAGACTTTATTATTTCTCCTTAGAAGCCCGTTTGCTTTCTAATGAGAGACAGAAAGGGATTGGATTCAGATGGGAGGAACTTAGAGGAGTAGAGGGGGGAACCAAAATCAGAATATATTATATGAGAAAAAGAATCTATTTTTAATAAAAGGAAGAAATAAATTGAATTTTTAAAAGGAAGGAAGACACTAAAGAATTTGGAGTTTCTGTTTAATTCTGTGGCTATAGCCATCAAACTCAATGCTTTACCTGTACTAGACAAGTGCACTACCACTGACCAACATCCCCAGACCTTAATTTTTGTTGTTCTTGCTACTATTGCTTGTTTGGTGGTTTGTTTTGTTTTGTATTGAGACAGGGTCTCACTGTATAGCCCCGGCTGACACAGAACTCAGTGCGCAGTCTGTTTCTGCCACCCAGGTGCTGGGATTCAAGGTGTGTGCCACTGTACCCAGTCCTATGTGGTTTCTTCTTTATTGTGACACAGGTTTTCATGCAGCCCTGGCTATAGCTAAGACACTGGCCTTGAACTCTTGATGTTCCTGCCTCTGTCTTTCATGGGTCATCACTCTTTGGTCAGTCAAATTTTTCTTCATTTCCTCCCTCTTTCTATCTTTAAAGATTTGCTTATTTTATTTTCTGCATATGAATGTTCCACCTACATACATTTTGGGGCATCCTGGTACACGCGTGGTAGTTGAGGAGGCCAGGAAGAAGTGACAGGTGCCCTGGAACGGAAGCTATTATGACCCATCATATGCGCGCGGGACTAGAACGAGGTCCGATGAAAGGCAGCTTAGCCGCTGAGTCATCTCTTTTTCTCTCCTCCTTCTGTCTTCTTTTTCTAGGGGGTTGGTTGGAACAAAATTTTACACTGTAGCTGAGGCTGACCTGGAACTCGCAGCAATCCTCCTGCCTCAGTCTCCTGAATTCTGGAATAGCAAACATAGGCCACAATTGCCCAGCTTCAAAGGAAACAGAGTTCTGGCTTGGAAACACAGGAAAAGGATCATTGGAGGAGAAACAACAGTGGCAAAAGAGGGGCTCAAACACAGCCTCAGAAAGGTGGAACTCGATAGGACAATGGAGTATTTCTAAATGAGTGAAAAGGAGACGGCATTCTGAGTAGTAAGTGAATGGATGATTCCAATCGCTGAAGGTCTAGATGCTTCCAAAACTTAGACGCATTCTATAATTGAATTTCATAGGGTCACTTCAAATACTTTAAACTTTACCACAATGCTTTCCCATCTGTTTATTGATCAAAGATTCATAATCTATCTGGAAGAATTACTTTTATTATCTTGCTCCTTGGCACCATAACTTGACATGAGTCCTGCAAAGCCATTGGATTTTTACCTAAAAATAACGTCAACCTGGAGACAGGCATGTGCCCACGCACACACACAGGTGTTCGTGATTTCATCTTGGCAAGCTCTGCAAGAGACTGTAGTTCCTCTGGCAGGCTCAGCTTTGTGGCTGTGACCAGGTCAGTCCCACAGGCTCCGTGAGGAGGTGTGCTCTGCTTTATTTATTTTATTTTTATCTATTGTGTGTGTGTAACAGGAGTCACTTCTCTTCTTCCACTGTGTAGATTCCTGGGATCCAACACAGGCCGTCAGTTTTAGCTGCAGGCTCCTTTCCCCGTGGAGCCGCTTTGACAACTCAAGGAGTCTGTTTATTGAGTTGAATGTTTGCAGCCCCAAGTATCTTAACTTTATCTTTGCATTTGTGCTTTGTAAGTAAAATTTTATAGAACAATGGAGATGTGATGGAGGCTTGGAACCTTGGCTCACATGTGAGCTCTGCTTCCCAAGATGGGCTCACGGCTGCTGCTCTCCCAGTTGTTGTGACCACTTCTGACAGTGCTGGCACTGAGATCGTGGATAAGCAGAATACGTTCTGTCTAAACCTCTAATGGAGACCAGCCAGGCATATTGTGGAAAGGGTCTAGGTGGAACAGGTGGAACATTCAGTATATTGGGCTAGGGAATGATGACAGGCATCCATCTCCGCTCTGACTGGGACTATACATTTATTTAGTGGGTATTTGGGTATATGGTTAGCCTCTCATCCATCTATGATTCCAGGTACCAAGTGCTTTCAAGTACTTAAAGGCTTCAATCTTCAGGGCGGGTATCGATTGGTGCATGCTTTTGGTGTCTTGGGGTGGGCTGGTCATGGGGAAAGTGGTTAACTTCCTCTTCGTTATAGAGCCAGGTATCCTTGTCCTACAGCTGGTAAAAATATGCACTTGGTAAATGATGAGTGTACAGTTTGCTGAGCCCAGCAGGTAGGGTCTAGGGTTCCTCTAAAATTTTATTCTGTGCAGCAGCTAAATATGGCCATGGGAGGAAACACGACACGAAGTATGATTGGCCAAGAGAATGAAAATCAGTAATTTTAATTACACTCTACATGGTCTCCATGTTTGTTTTGGTTGGTTAGTTAGTTGGTCAGAGGTTGGTTTGGTTGGTTATTTGTTTGTTAGTTGCTTGGCTGTTGTTGGCTGTTTGGTTATTTGGTTGGTTTTGTTTGTTGTTTGGTTGATTGTTTATTGGCTTGTTAGTTGGTTATTTGTTTTGTTTGTTTGCTGTTTGTTTGGTTTGTTTAATTAGTTGGTTGGGTATTTGTTTTTTGGCTGTTTGCTTGTTGGCTGGCTGGTTGGTTAGCTGGTTGTTTGATGGGTTGTAAGCTGTTTGGTTGGCTTTTGGCTGTTTGGTTGGTTAGTTGTTGATTGGTTGTTTGGTTGTTTTATGGTTGGTTGGTTGTCAGCTATTTGGTTAGTTGAATAGTTGGTTTTCCACTCTAGACATCTGGCTTACTTTTATCACTCATTACTGTGACAAAATTCCTGACAAAGGTTGGCATACAGGGTTGCACAGCTTAGGTTCCAAATCTTCAGCCATAGTGCCTTTTGTATACTCTATTGTATCCAGACCATGCCCATGGTCCTTTTCTCTCTCTTCACTTCCAGGTTCATCCTGAACATCAATGCACCCTCTGCCTCAGTGCCAGAGATTCCTCCCTGAGCTCATTCAGTAATTGGCACAGATTGCTTGCAGGACAGCTCTGAACAAAGGAAAGACTACCTCAGCTTCTAGCGTCTAGAGACCACTTGTACTCTGCAGCCTGCAAAGCAAAACCTCTCATTCACAAGCTGCTCTGCGGCCTGCAGGCTGATCACCTGTACATGAGGTAGCACAGAATCTGCCTAGTGGGATGGAAGGACACCATTTTCGCTTGAATGCTGCCCTGGCCTTGCTTACCTGCACCTCGGTGATGAAACCTCCGTGCTCGCCGCCGTAATGTGTGCTCCTCCAACCAGTAGTGATGCCCAGTCTGATCGGAAGAAATGAATGGTTTGCAGTTAAACAAACCTGACAAAGAAAAATTATTAAAGAAAAAGTTAATTTTGGCTCATGGTTGCAGGGTACAGTCTGTTGCTGTGGTAACAGTGGCTGTAGCTGAGGCAGCAAGATTGAGGGGCTGTTAACCACATTGCATCCGTACTGGGGAAGCAGAGACAGATGAGGGTATCAGGCTTTCTTCTGCGCCACCAATCAGCTCCCAAATTTTGGCACGGAGACTTATTAGTTTTGAATGTTGGACCTTAGTTTATCTCTTATTTTAATTTGCTTTTCTTTATCTGTGTTTTGCCTCGGGGGTTTTTACCTTTTATATCTTACTTTCCTGTGTCTCTGTGACTGTCTGTCTGGCGACCACCTGCCATCTGACCTCCGGTGTGACTTTCTTCCTTGTTCTCTCCTTCCTCTTCTCTCTTGAGCCTAGATTTCCCCTCCTACTTATTCTCTCTGCCTTCCAGCCCTGCCTATCCTTTCTCTGCCTAATTGTTGTCCATTCAACTTTTTATTAGACCAGTCAGGTGATTTAGGCAGGCAAGATGAAACAATTGCAACAATCTTTGCATAATTAAACAAATGTAGCAAAACAAATGCAACAGATCTTTACATTGTTAACAAAGGCGGCAGAAACCAATGTAAGATGGGGTCACGTAGTTAAAGTAACAATGTAAGATGGGTTCACGTAGTTAAAGTAACATTCCACAGTGGAAACAAATGTAACATATTTTTGCCCAGTTAAAAATAACATTCCACAACAGATGAATGCTGGTGTGTGCTGGCTGGTTTTATGTCAACTTGACACAATGTAAAGTCATCTGAGAAGAGGGAACTTTAAGAAAATGCCTCCACAAGACTGGGCCATAGGTAATTTCGTTAGTTACTGATTTGGGAGGACCCACCTCTGTTGTGGTTCTGTAAGAAAGTAGACAAAACAGGCTGAGCAAGCCACAGGAGCAAGGCAGTTGCAGCATCCCTCCGTGTCCTCTGCATCAGCTCCTGTCTCCAGGTTCCTGCCCTGTTTGAATTCCTGTCCTTGCTTCCTTCAATGATGGAAATGTAAGCCAAATAAACTTTTTCCTCCCTAAGTTGTTTCTGGTCAAGGTGTTCTATCAGAGCAATGGTAACTCTAACTACGACTTGGCACTTAACAGACTTCCTTGCCTTTCTCTTTTTATTCAGTCCTGGATGTCAACCCATGGGATTGTCCCTTCCTTCTAAGTTAGACTTCTCTGGAAACGTTATAGATGCTCAATGGTGTGCCTGCTGGATGATTCTATATCCGGTCAGGTTACCATTGTAGAACTCCATTTCAGGGCCTCAAACATGCCAGCCTCTGAGCTACACTCTAGCCTTTTATATTATTTATTTATTTATTTGCTTTTGAGTGTGTATTTATTGCACGTATGTGCATGTTCATGCCTGTGAAAATGCTAGTGTTTAGAGGTCAGAGCACCACCTTTTTTTTTTTTTTTTTGAGACACAGCCTCTCACTGACTTGAAATTCATTAAGTAAGTTAGTCTGTCTGGCCATTGAGCATTTGTCTGTCTTCACCGGCCTAGCATTGGACTAAGAGGTATTTACAACCACACCACATCGGTTTAAATACATTAACTGTATTTAATTAATTAAATAATTCTGAGTTAGTGATTAACTAACACGCATCTTTGTTGACTTAAAGGAATAAATCAAGGAGAGATGCCTCAGCGGTTAAGCCTGCTATTCCAAAGGTCCTGAGTTCAATTCCCAGCAACCACATGGGGGCTCACAATCATCTGTAATGAGGTCTGGGCCCTCTTCTGGCCCGCAGGCATATACACAGGCAGAATATTATATACATAATAAATAAATATTTTTTAAAAAGTGCTGATGTGTGCATGTGAGAACGCATACATACATACACATACACATACAACTGTAAGGAATAATTCAAGCTAGGTTCAAGCTGGGTTATGGTGACACCCACCTTTAATCTTAGCCCTCAGGAGGCAGAGGCAGGCGTATCACTGAGTTCAAGGCCAGCCTGGGCTACAGAGCAAGTTCCAGAACAATCAGAACTATTACACAGAGAAATCCTGCCTTGAAAAAAAAAAAGAAATAGAAAAACAAAAAAGAAAGAAAGAAAGAAAGATCAAAGTGCTTCCCCCTGGAGTAGTCTGACCAAAGGCAAACCTGAGTTAGAATTCTCTGTTTCTCTCTCTGTGTCTTCCTTCTCTCTGTAGCTTATGGGTTCTGATCTAGCTGTAAACAGTCTGTTCTACGAGTCTGAATCTACTTTTCCATGCTTACCTAAAGGCTGTCTTGTGAATCTATCAGTTTTCATGCTGTGTCCCAAGCAAAGGTCACTGCTCTGTATCTATTGAACGGCACAGAAAGCAGCACATTGGGAAGGGACAAGGGACAATACTTCACGGAAATCATTAACAGTTTTTCAAGAGCTTTTGCTGACTTTACCAACTCCAACTGACAAACCGCTGATCACAAACAAACAAACACTGTCAGGCAACATCCCTACGTTGCTTTCAGTTTTTATGGATTTTTGTTTTGCCTTTATCTGATTTGCTGTTTTCAGCTTTATTATCATAACATACATACATCCACACATACACTGCTCATGGGTCAGGCATATGGAAGAGTACACGATTTAAGATTAAAACTATGTCTTAGCTTAGGTTGTAAAAGCTTGGGGTGGGGGGGACGGGGAACCAAGGCAAATCAGGTTAGTTGTTACATTGTTCTGTTCTCTGGAAGACAGGCTAAACAAACAGGCTGTGTACACAGCAGGATAACAGTCTCAACAATAAATAAATAAATAAATTAAAAAAAAACAGTCTCAAGCTTAGGTGATCTCAAGGTGTATTATTAACCCTGGCTGTGAGGTCCACCAAAAGTTCCACTCTCTTAGAATGTAAGAGAGACTCTCATAACAGTCTATTGCCATACCACTCCTGGTTCCTTCCTTTCTTTCTTTCTTTCTATCTATCTATCTATCTTTCTATCTATCTCTCTCTCTCTCTCTCTCTCTCTCTCTCTCTCTCTCTCTCTCTCTCTCTTTTAAAATTTATGTTCTGTGGATCAGATTCAGGTCCTTAAGCTTGAAGGTGAACACTTTCCCAATTCTTAATTATCATTTTGAAACAGACTCGCTAAATTGTCCAAGATGACCTCAAGTTTGTGAGAGCCCCGTGTCGGTCTCCCCAATTAAAGTGCACTATACTCAGCTCCCCGCTACTCCCCTCCCCCCTTTTATTTTATCTTTATTCAGGATTTTGCTATGTAGCCCCGGCTTGCCTGGAACTCTCTTTGTTGACCAGGCTGGCCGTGAATTCAGAGATTGGCCAGCCTGTATCACTGGAGTGCTGGGATTAGCAACATGGACCTCCACACCTGGCTCTTGCCTGCTTTTGAAGCAAGGTGCTTTTATCTTCATTTCTCAGTGGGTCCTGCAAATTATGTAGCTGGTTCTGTCTGTAGGCATTCTATTTTTTTTGTCTAGGTAATAAACTGCATCGTCATAGACAGCGAGAGACCGAGCCTTCCAATAGTGAAATAAGCCAATTTTTACAACACATAGTATTTATTATTAATCTTCAATTACATTTGATGGGTTTAGAAAAGGAGAAACATTTTTCCCATACCCAGAAGACACACTGTGTCATTAAATTCACTTTGTTATATATGGTTTTAAATTATTAAGCAGGGAAGAAAATTTAGTAGTTGTCAGTAAAATTCCATTTTACACTGCAACAACCTCTTCTCTAAGCATCTTGATATCACAGGATGATGATAAAATGCTGCTTATGTGTAGATGCCACATTACATAAGATAATTTATTTTCAGCTTAGAGGCAGTCAAGTCTTCTAAGACTAAAACAAGCATTAAAATAATTGAATCTTTGAAGTACATATTTCTTGTTGATATGATTACTGTCTCCTGTGTTAAGAAAGTGATGTAGCTTGGTAGGAAGATCCTAAGATTGCAAGTTAACTCTCAATTTTCTCTTTGTAACATGAAGACCTTTAGCTAACTAAAAATTTTCTAAGGTTTCTTCTAATCCTGGAGTTCAGTGATACTTGACTGGCAGGCACTCCCATGGGTGCACATTCCTGACTGTACACACACATTCTCTGCCCCCCCCCCCCGAATACGATCACTGAGCTACAAGCTGTGCATCTAGGAACATGTTGGATGAAAGAAAGAGAAACATAATACATTTACTCAAGTTTAAAAAAAAAAACAACCATTTTCCTTTGAGAAATTGTGTTATATAGAACAAGAGTAAAAAACACACATGAATTAATACTAAAAATAACTGTAAGGTAACCTGGCTAAGACTTTGACATCACTAATACTTACTATATCTCAGAAGACCCAGCTTTTGTCTGCTTTTGAAAATGTCCTTCTCCTGGTTCCCCAGGAGTGACTATTTCTGTGCTCCCATCGTCCCATCAAGTATTAAACCTAAGGCCCTATAACTTAAAATTGTGGGCATGCTGGGTAGTATGGCCATAGACACTAAGGATGTTTGAACAGAAACATAGGAATTCACATTATTTTACATTTACCTAAAATTACACACTAGTTAAATGAAGTTATGCTACTTAGACTGCTAATACTACCCCTAAGAGCCCTAGGTTACCTAACAAAAACCCCAGTAGGAGTTCCTCCTTTTGAATTGTTGGTCAGGGAAGTTCCAGAGACTCCCAAAATAGCATAGACTATTTATCTCCCAGAAGTTGAAGGTAGATCCCTACTGCTGAAGACATCATGCCATTTGAACATGGGTCTCAGAAGAACTGAGCTGGATCTGACCCAAAGCCTCTGCCCTAAGGACGAACTGTCACAGTACTAGAAAGCGTTATTCAGGCTGACCAGGGAGGAAACAGTCAATAGTCCCACCCAACTGTGGTACCTATGAACCGCAACCATGGCCAACAGGCAAGGTGTCCCTAAAGGGACAGTAGCAGCACCATTTTTGGTGGCAACTAACAGCTGTCTAACTAAACTGAAGGCTTGACCAATAGAAAGGAAGTCACGGAAGCCCTCTCCAACGCCTGCAGCTGGTGAGGTCATAGATCTTATAAAAGAACCCATAACTGCATTTTTCTAAACCAGCGCAGTTACTACCTGCATTAAATATTCATCTTTATAACCACAGAGAAGTGTATCTCTCACCTGTTGTCATCAAAGAAGTTTATTTTTACAGACCACCACACAAAGTCACAACTGGTTAAAATGCAGAAAACTGACCATGGAGTTTCCAGCCCCACTTGTTCCACATACAGTTCTAAGGCTCAGGGAACATCAAGGAAGAGGGGGAGAAAGATAGACTGTAAGACCCAGAGGACCAGGAAGTCTGCTGCAGTTGTGTCTCCTAGATATGGCAGGGAAGCTCTGACCATGAAATCTATAAAATTATAAAATACGGCTGCTAAAACAAGGCCTGAACAATGGCAGTACCCATTGGCTTGCCAGTGTGGATGGTTGGCTTAGTTAGAACTTCTGTTGCTGTAATGAAAACTCCGGGACTCAGAGCAGCTCATCAGGGAGAGGGTTTACTCTGCTTACATTTCCACGTCATAGTCCATCATTGAAAGGAGTCAGGGCAGGAGCCCAGAAGCAGAAGCTGATGCAAAGGCCGTGGAGGAATGCTGCTTACTAACTTGCTCCTCGTGATTTGCTCTGCCTGCTTATTTCTACAGCACCAGAATCACCAGCCCAGGGGTAGCAGTGCCCACACTGCTCTAGGTCCTTCCACACTACCAATCAAGAAAATGTGTCACAGTTTTGCGAATAGGCCAGTCTGATAGGGACATTTTCTCAACTTAGGCCCCTCTTCCAAAATGACGCTAGTTTGTGTCAAGTTGATTAAAAAAAAAAAAAAAAAGAAAAACAAACTAGCCAGTATAAGAGGGGAATCTCAACCACATCTAGATGAAGAACTACAGGCAATTAATGATTGCTGAGGAAGGAAAATTAG